AACTAAATCAAACTTAATTTTAAGTTCTGTTCTCATCTTCAGCTCAGTTTCAAGGTCTGTCTTCATATCAGAGAATTTGCTTGTAGTATCCAGGAGTTTACCTTCTAACTCCTTCTGAAGCATTTCAAGCTTCCTTTTCTGATTTATTAACTCCCTTTTCTCTTCATCTGAGCTGCTCTTTTCATTCTCATAAGCAATGTCAAGCCACTTTTTCTTATTAGCAAGCTCTTTAGTAATAGTTGTATGTTTTTTTATAGTATTCCTCTTATCAAGAGCAAATTGCTTTGTCTCTTCGTCTAAAGCCTTCTGCTTTAGAGCAATGCTTTCAGATAATTTCTGTATTTGGCTCTGACACTCTTCTGTGATGTCTTTCTTCTCTTTATCATTCTTGGCACGTTCCAAGATGATCAGCTGCTCAAAATCCAAGATTTGCTTTAACAACATCTTTGCATTCAACTCGAGAGAGTTTATCTTATTCTCATAAGATACACTTTTAGCTCCAAATTTTCTTTCTAGTTCAATCACCCTCTTCTTCTCTTTTTCAAATTCCATTCTTTCAGAACTTAAACTCTTCTCAGCTTTCAGAGCTTTTTCCCTTCTCTAATTCCAGTAATTTCTTTAACTCACTCAACTCACTCTCAGACTTATGAAATTTATCAGTTAAATCCTGTCTCTTTATTATTCCTCCCAAAAGAATTCCTCTCAATTTGCAGCTCTTGAAGTTTATTAAACATATCTTTATTAGCTTTACTCCAAGTTTTCAAATCATCATCATAGTCTTTCCTCACAGAACTCAAAGTTTTCTCAAGCTTTTCAACCTTATACTGAAAGTCCTTCTCAATTGTTTCACATTTTACTTTATGATCCCTTTTTAAATCTTTAATATATTCCTTATTTGAATGGTTTTCGTAGAACATGTTAAGATATTTCTCTTTGTAGTCCAATATGTTCTTTTCCAATTCAGCAATCCTCTCTCTCAATTCTTTATCCTCTCTCTCAAGAAAAGCTGCCATTAAAAAAATCAAGATTGATCAAGTAAAGAATCTATGCAGTTCAAGAAATTGATCAAAGAAATACAGTCTAAAAATATTACACAATCACTTAAAAAAATTCACACTTCACATAATTCTTGGAAAATCAAATTGGTCAAAAAGAATGTTTAGCAAAAATTAAGCAAGGCTCAAACAAATCAAGTAGTGAAAAAGAATATGACTAAAATGCTCAAAAGTGTGCCTAAGCTCAAGAATGAACCTAAATCGCTCAAGGCAAAGTTCAAGTCGCTCAAGCCTAAGACTAAGTCACTCAAAAACTAAGTCTTAATCTGCTCAAAACACTACCTTAATTCGCTCAAGACTATGCTCCTTAATCGCTCAAAGATTATGCAAGAATCCAGTCAAATCCACTCAAGTGATGTGTCCTAAATCGCTCACCTCACTAAATAAATTGCTCACCTCACTAACTAAATCGCTCACCTAACTAACTAAATCGCTCACCTCACTATGATCCTTATCCGGTCAAGTCTGTTCACTACAAGAAATAAATCGCTCACCACTAAACTTAAGTCGCTCAATACACAACTCTTAATCCGGTAAAGTCCGCTCAAATGGTGTGCAAATCTGGTCAAAGCTTAACACTAACTCGCTCAATGTTTAGCTCAAACTCTCTTAAAACAACTTCTAAATCGCTCAATGCAGATCCTAAGTCGCTCAAAGCATGATGTAAATCGGTCAATGCATGAACTTTAAGTCGCTCAATGCATGAGATAAATTGGTCAATGCATGAACTTTAAGTCGCTCAATGCATGAGAATAAATCGGTCAATGCATGAAACTTTAAGTCGCTCAATGCATGAGAATTAAATCGCTCACTGCATGGAAGTCTAAATCGCTCACTTCATGGAAGTCTAAATCGCTCACCACTAGGTTTTAAACCACTCAACAAACTGAGTTATAAACCACTTACCACTATGATCCTTATCAATGAATAAATCGCTTACAACTCAATGTAAATCGCTCAAGCTTGAAGTATATACTAAGTATAAATCGCACACCACATGGTCTTAATTTGGTCAAGAGGTATGCGATAATGAGCTAAATCACCTACCGCAAGAGCTAAATCGCCTACCACAAGAGCTAAATCGCGTACCACAAGAACTTTAATCGGTCAATGCTTTGTCTAACACCAAATTTAAATCGTTCAATGAAGTGTGTGCATAATCCGTTCAATAGATGAAATAGATCGCTCAACCTATGGGATAAATCGATCAACAAGTAAGAAGAGTCAAATGATTTATGAAAAACAAGATTCAATCAAAAAGTCAATCAAACTTAGATCAAACCAACAAACAAACACAAAAACTTACAATAAGTCATACAAAAACGGATCAAATTCTAACTTTTTGATGAATTTTCATAAGAACATGAAGAACATCAAAATTCATAAAACTCTTCAAATCTTTACTGTCAATGATCAAATCATGAAATTGTAAGAATAAAACTGATTCACGACATAAAAATGTACACGATGATCACAAATTTAACAATTAAACATCCAAAAATGAGAGATTTGAGAGAAATTTATGAAAAAAAAGATGAACATTCAAGAACATGATGAATTTCAAGAACAATATGATAAATTTCCAGAAAATTGTGCAATTCTTGATGATTTCTTCAATCAAATTCCCTGCAAACTTGCTCTGATACCAATTATAAGTCCCAAATATGATCAATCTTCAAATAAACTCTAACAATCCATTGCAATCTATGAAGAACATCAAGAACTCTTGATGAATGTAG